ATCTAATCACCATAAAGTGAAAATTACTTTTACCATTTCTCAGTATTATAGAATATGTGCGTACCGATGTGCGCATCCATTTGTGCCGATTGTTTTCTACGAGACCATGTGGGATATGGAATGCGCACCTTTTGTGTTGCGATCCACAGAATTCATAATAATAGTGAAGACATTTTTTAAGGGAAAGATGTATTAAAGAATCCACTCTCCAAGAAAAAAATAGTGAAAGGTAAAGTCGATCTGCTAAAAAAAAAAAAAGAAGAAATATACTGAAAATTTTACTGACATAAATATGGGCTTGATAATTCTGTTATTCGTATGATATGAGCATCACTTTTAACACAGTTATTTACCGTTAATGTTTATTGGTGAATTTACAAGTAATAATTCCGATAAAAACATATATTTCCGGATAAACAACAGTGATAAAGAAATAGTGACAAAAATACCGTCGTCAAATAGATTATGAAAGGTTCTGAAAAAAGGAAAAGGATCTGAAGAAGTAAGGAAAGAGAGGGAGGGGATAACAACCCCAATCCATCATGTGTGAAAATCTAAATGGAATTTCCATTGAGAACAGGGTAGAGAGGAAAACGAAAAATTAACCCATGTCATTTTCACATCGATCCACTCAGGAAGAAGTCTCTCTTACATGTGGACTACCAGTGAGGACCGGCTTTCAAGTGCACTTGTGAAAGACGGCCATGTGAAGCCATATATCCACACTACCAAGAAGAGGAGTGATCGCGTTATCTCGGATAGAACGATAGGAAAAGTCTCATTAGCAGAGTTAATAGCACACCGAATTATCCCGTGCGCGCATGTGAAGCTAAAAGGAATGATAAATAGCCAAAGGAGGACTTCCAGTCCCTAGACCATCCCGTCTTATTGGGTATTTTATCCTTCCTCTTTATTTTTTTTTTCTCGATTTAGAGAATAAAACAAGTATAGGTGTTTAACAACAGCTCGGTGGGGTACCACAGGACGCCGGGCTGCAGGCGGTTCAGCAGCTCCGCCCTCTCACGGTTTCGCATGAGAACGGAGCAGCTCGGGACCACATCGCACATCAACACATCCAACGCGTTCATGAACTCCGCCTCGTTTTGCGTGTTTAAATAATCGCCGAGCTCGGAGAATGGGAGGCAGGCCGCGCAGATCGGGCACTCCTGGCTCGGCGTCTTGGAGGAGCCGCACAGGTGAAAGTTGGCCTTGGGTTTGGGTTTGCGTTGGGCCCGCCACGCGGCGGTGTGTTCGTAAGTGATTTTGAATTCCTGATAAAGCGTCCGCGCGATGTCGATCAGCAGGAACTGGGCGCGGAAAATGTACTCGAGGTCGCCTTCGATGGTCCGCTCCGCCGCCAGGTCGGCCATGGATAGACTGACGTCTCCGATGGCGGGGCGGATACTCTGATATTTCATTAGTTGGATCGTCTCCGAGCCGAAATGGAGATAGCTATCCAGAAGAAGTGCGAGCTGGAGAAGTCGTTGGAGAAAGCAATAGACCACCTCCAGGTGGGGGAACCCGCCTTTGTGAGGGATCCCAGTGGGGAAGACCGGCATGAAGGGGTTGTAGTCCTCGAGCTCGTCGTCTTCGAAGACGACCGCGCTGACGATCGCGGTGCGAATTCTGGCAGGGCTGTAGGCATGGCGCGAGGGCGTCGTGGCGAGGAGTTCGCCCCAGTCCCCCTCAATCGGGGCGTCGTGGGTGAACAATTCGATGTAGTGGCTGGTCAAATCCACCGCGCCCTTCGTGCTCAGCGCCGCGCGCCTGCCGTCCCGGTGGGTGTTGTGTTGGATATAAAGCGCGGCCTCGTAGACGAGCATCTCCAGCCGGAGCAAGATCGCGTTCGGGACCGGGGCGTCGTCGGCGATGGCGCGGCGGGCCCGACCAGGGC